TTTAGTTATAATGTTAAATTTTGATATTTATTTTTATAAAATCATGCATTCTGCATCTTGATTGTGTGATATTATTTGATTGGACATAATCAGCGATAGAGCTAGCTTTTGCGCCTAAGGATTTGACATATGAAATATATTTTGTATTTATATTTAAAAATTTGCTTAATGTATACAAATAATTTATGATAAAACTTAGCAACGTTTTTTTCTTTTTCGAATTTAGATTCATAAACTCAAAATTTTATCTCGACTACACTCTACATAATATATAAAGTGTGAAGAATTGACTTCTTTATTATAACAAAAGGGTCTCAGGTACAAATTGCAATTGGAAAAAATATACTAAGTGATTAGTTCTCATCTAACCTAGCTTTGGTGGATGAATTTATCTGGTATCATTTACGGGTGGAAGATGATAAATTTCCTTTAAATTAATTGAGGTGTGCAAAAGCTGGTTCGAAATTATATATATATCAAAGTTTAAAATAACATTGAAAATACTTTTTTTTTAAACGAAGAAAGGCCTAAATGCCCCTTAACTATTTAAATTGGTATAAAACTACTCTTCATCCACCTATCATCCTCCAAATACGTCAACATTTTTGCTCAAAATAACCATTGATATGAACCATTTGACTCATATTTATCTTTATTTTTAACAAAGTCCCCCTAAATTAAATCAATAAATATTTATTTATTATGTTACCTAATCTAGCTAATCAAAATTGAAATCCTTCTCAAATAAATAATAAAAATTACATATGATTCATATTTTGACCTGATAAGCTTGAAAATAATATTCAAAAAATTATCAATTTCATGATATGTTACTATTGACCTATTTTCAATCAACCCCAAATTATTATAACCCAACTCATGATTGGAGATTCAAATAAAATTCACACGCGCCCCATCTAATTTTTCACCTTAAAAAAAGATTATTATTATTATTCATTAATATAAAATTTCTAGCAATTATCCCACTGTCATGCTTATTCCCTCTTTTTATTCTTTCTTTTAATCTTTTATTCTTAATTAGAATATCATGAATTAAACTTGAAATTGACTTAGATGCTCATATTCTTTTAGTTTGTACTATTATCATAGTGTGTGTGTTGGGGGGAGGGGGAGGGG